GCCTTTGTTACGCCGCGCAATAAAATATTTCATTACTATGTGAAACATCCCGTCGTGCCGTGCCGCGTCGCATCGCGTCGCATCCTACCGCACCGCCCGTCGACTACGACTGCGGATTTTCTTTTTTCGCAGTGACGCGCTTGCATTCCGATGTGAGCGGGATATTAATATAAAAAGTTCAGTAGTTTAGCTCCAGTTTGGACCCTACTTAAACGTCCGTTTTTTATAATATGGTACTGCTGTTCGGTTCCAAATAAACGTACTATTATTGTTGGTTGATACTTCCAAATACATAAAAAGCTTAAAACGCAAACCTTTTGTAAGTACTTTTCTTTCCTTTCAATTTGAATCTTGTGCTTAAAATGGCAGCAAACCTAATTTCATAATAATATATTTTTATATTTTTATTTAATGGCAACCCCGGAAATTCTTTGTCGATGACAGCTGAATATGACTTAATTCTCAAAGGAGACCCATTTCCATCAATGTGTGAAATTTGGTTGGAGGGGAGAAGGAAAAAATACCTACTTACAAAAATTAGCATCGACATTTTTCAAAGTACTTATAGGACTTTTCATTTACAATGTATCCGTTGATACGGAAATTAAATGAACATGAAGGTCATAAAACAGAATATTTCATCACTAAAAAGGTACCTATTCCATTGGCAACTGCCCGAAAAATCACGCCCAACATACAGTAAGCTCGCATCCAACATCGAGGTAATCTGTATGAAATATAAATTAATTACTCGCTCGCCAAACTTATTTTCACTTGCAAACGCTTCCAAGACCACGTCCAAAGCAAAGTTAAACTTAATCTGACCGTTACTAAGGACGTAGAAGCCCTAAATTACAGGAGTGCACACTAAACATCCTGTCAGACCCTATTCATTCATACTTTGCCACTAAAACGCTTACCTACTGGGGCACAAAGGGAATTTCTATACGAGTGTATACACGTCAGACATTCTGACAGCTGTGTGCGATTGTACGATCGCTATACAATGGTGGTTGTCTTAGAAGTGTACTTGTGAACTCACAAGTGCTTAATTGTGAGATCGCGTCTTCGCTCGCGTCTCGGATTCACTGCACATCGAAACTTTTAGTAACGACCCGGCAAGCATGTGTTGCACAAAAATAAAATGCTTTTACTGTGTAGTGTCGGTGTTCTCGAATATATGTAGAAGTGAACTTCAGTATAGCAAGAGTCTAATTTAAATTGCTGTTAAAGCAATAAGGATATATTCAATCAGCTTAAAATGTATGACTTTTGACTATACCTATAGACAACATGGTATATACCTACCAATCAAAATTATTTCATTTCACTAACACAACTTGAAAATGTATCTACTTTTTTATGGAATAAGCCGGTAAACAAGCAGACGGATCACCTGATAGTAAGCAATGGACACTTGGAACACCTGGATTAGGAATTTGAGGATTGTTGCATTGGGGAAAGGGGGGGGGGGTTATTGGGCCTCCGGTAATATCACTCACACGATGAAACACAACGCAAGCGTTATTTCACGTCTTTTTTCTGTAAGGCTATAGTATCACTCTGCCCACACTTGAAACTTAGGCCATTAACAAAATACACTTCCAATCCCACCTTCTGAAGCCACGGAGACCCTAACGGGTTACCGGGACTCCGGCTCGAAGTGCAGAAGTAGGAACGGGGTGGTTTTTAGTCGGTAAGAGTCTGACACTTCCTCCCGCCTCACCCAGGTGGGAGAAGTCATTCGATGAATTTCCCACTTAAAAAAAAAAAAAAAAAAATCTTATATTCTATTATCACTCAAACGACAACACACTCAGTCTTAAACTGAAATTCATCCCAATATCATATCATCCGAATATCGCCTTACAACAATATGTTATAAAAAAAAAAAAAAAAAATTATACGACAACACTTCTCCGCCTGCCAGTACTTGTCGGTTCCACTTCACTTCTACAAGTTGTGCTGAATTGCAAATAACTTATCTGTGCCTTAATTTTCATGGAATCCTAGTACACATGTATCTATGTAGATTACATTAAACGTCTAATTCAAAAGTACAATGATTTGCTACACTAGAATATACGATGTGATCCTTTTGTTTGAGGTTTCAAGAACACGGGATAAGCAGCTGTGCATTTAAAATCGATTTCCCCTTTGTTGCTATAAGAGTATTGTAATAGGGAATGGGTAACAGAATCACAGTTTTTAATCCCTGATAGGATTAGTATAGATATAGTTACATCATAAACATTGAAAAATTTACAAGCGTATAACAACTACCTATAACAATTTCCAACTCCACAACCAACCCAATAATATCTACTTAGATAAAAGCTTTTACATAACTCTTTAAATGTAACAATTAGCCAGGTTATTACGCCCTAATCGAACAGCCATTAACGTAAAAAAATCTATTTATAAGCAAATTTGGGAGGGTACTCGGAAAATAGAGGAGTAAATTAGTGTTGAATATCTTATCGGTTCATTTCAATAGCGACTGCGGAGCGGGGCGCATCAATCAACCGCGCATGACGGCGGTATATTGAAACACTGAGCTATTGCCGGGTTTTCTCTGGTTACTGTATTTACTTTCATCATGGTTTTGTTTAGATCTTCGAGTATTTTTAAATTATAAAGATTGCGTATTGATTTATGCCTGGCTGGAGTGGAGTGTTGAGAAATCTTAGTAGAAATATTAGTATAAGAAAACAAAAAAATCTACCTACGAAGTACTTCAATTCAGGATATATAGAAACAACTCAGGCTCCAAACTGCTTTTCAGAACAATATTTTCCCTAAAAGTAGGTCCTATTTAATATAATTGTATTAGGAGAACATTATACCACCTAAATGTTCTCCTAATACAATTTTCCCTAGCGCTTCACGGATTATGACATGAACTTTAAAGTAACAGAAATATATCTTAATAAATATTTTAAATGCAACAGTTTGTGTATATATTTGTAAAATATGAAGAAGGGATAGATTATGATCTGAAGAGAGACATAGGCTACTTTCTATACACGAAGCCGCTGATAGAAGCTTAAAAACTTAAAAAATTTCTATACATAGCGGGTATTACAATATCTACCTATTTGAAACTGTATACCTATTCTTGTAAAAGGTCATGATAACTAATTTTATAATAGCAAGCTCGCCCCTCGTAAAATGGGGTGGAGCAGATGACAGGCGATGTCACGGAGATAGGACACGCCGCTACTTCCATCTTAGCTGCATGTTATACTAGGTTTGTACCATCGGTCTGCTTAGAGTTTTGACAAAGCTATTAAATTATTTTTATTTCAGTCTGTACTGATGCTCAAAAACCAAAAATATCTAAATCATTTTTTTTTTAATTATAATAAAAAAATATTTGCTCAAACGTCGACGTTATCAGTATTCCATTTTCAAATTACTAATATTTGTTGAGTTCCTTACAAACTCAAACAAAATAATTAAATCGAAAATAAATAAATGTAGATCTAATAATGCTGCCAGGCTCCAGGGAGACATTTTGCCCGTCATAAAACAAGAAAATAACAGCGATGATGCTGATCTACATAATTAAATAGATAGCCAGGGCCAAGACGTACCCGGCAGAGTTGAAGCGAGGCGAAACGAACACATAAATTATGCACGTGCAGAAATCACGGATAAAGTTCCATTTGAACAACTTGGAAACTCAAAACCTGTTGAAGACTTGCTAATTACAGAAGAGGTTTTAAAGAAAACCCCCATTGTATAATATATCCATGAGAATGCGGCTCCTGCTCCTTATTATTAGCTGTTATGTCTGGTAAACGCCTCTTATGGCAGTCAACACTATAATACGCATGAACGAGTCAAGACTAGTAATAGCTTTCAACTGTATTACAAAATAATAAAGTTGAAAATCGATCTAATCCCACAACCTTAAAAATTAAAATGAAATAAAATACTTTTCACAATCTTAAAAGTAGATAATGATGTATTTATACATACTTCAAAATACTTATTTTAAAATACAAACTATAGTTAGTATTAAACTCATTACCTTATTTAAGCCTAGCTAAAAATTCTAACTAATAATAATGACAATCCACTCAAGGATTACAAAACAGAACACCGCGATAAAAACTGCAACATAAAAATCTTTCGAAGCATAGAACAAACAATAAGTTATTCAATATTTACAGATTCAGAAGTACACGATAAAGCTAATAGGGTAATTTCCAGGGTAAGAAAATTAAAAATCTAATTAGTCCGTCAGTTAGATAATGAAAAAATATTAGACACGTATTTTTTTATATTCTCGTAAAAAGTTACAATACTTCAATAAAATGGCGTTAAGTTTAGTAGTGGGAGGTTGTTACGTCACAACGTGGTACATTTTGTAGCACGCTGTGACGTCACGCGACATTTCAAATCAATATATCGTCAAAAGTATTTATTTTTGTGAGAAAAGAAAAAATACGTGTCTAATGTTTTAAAACAATCTACCAGACGGACATTGAAATAAAATTTAGGAAACTACCCTATTCTAAAATTAAAAATTTAGATACGTAATCCAATGTCATCGATCACTAGCACCCTCATAATTTTCCACTTATTGACGAAGTAAACAAGTTGTTTTCATAATTTGACAACCACCATTTCACCGTTTACAAATATCTATAAAACTTCGCACACAGAACTACTTTAAAGTTTTGCCAAATCGTCCATTCGAAGACTCAAATATTTTCGAACAATGTCCATGGTCCGAGCAAATTCATCTCCCTGGACAAATACTGAAAAGAAACTGAAAGAAATAAAGAAACTAGATAGAACATTGAAGTCACAGAATGCACAATTAAAATATTGCTTTCTGTAAGTCATTGTTATCTACTAGTACCTGAATAAACAATACAATATATGAATCATAACATTACGAAAATTCTAATCAATTTCCATAGGAATTATTATTTCAGTCAAAGCATGATATAATTCTAAATGTTATTGTCGATTAGAGAATACACAATGCACTTCCAAATAATGCAAGTACTTAAAATATAATGCATTACACAACCGAACACTTGAGATGTGAAAAAGTTTGTCAATTGGGACGGGCGTCCCTTCTGGCTAGTCTGTATTTCTCTGAAGCCTCTATTGGCTATCTGGACATCTGTTGGCGTTCTACAGTGTTTACATTTCATTTCTCGGAGCAACAAACGCCGGTAAGAAGAGGGATGCGCGCGCAGAGATCTCAATCGCGATAGCTTTGAGCAGTCGTTATCGTGATCTACACTGCGAGCACTTTCCTGTGGAATAGTTGCTTCAAGACCTGCGTATTCTTCGACTGTACTTTTAGAATTTTATATTATAAATGCAGCGCGTTGGTCAACTGCCTCGACAGCCTGCTTTGCGGAGCGCCATAGTAAATTGCATAGAAGCTACATCTAACTCTTCAGTTAGTAAAATATCTCTGTGGACTATCGGTTAGTGCACAGAAGTTTCGTTAAACTTGTTCGGCGGCCTCACAACATCGTCATCTTGTTTGATTACATTTAAGTCTTCAGATAACATTTCCTCATAGTAGTTAATTTCAGACGATCCTTTAAAATCAGTATCATTGTGTTTTCCTTCTTCTCTTAAAGCTCTGTCCTTTACTAAGAATGGATCGATTTGCTTTATATTCAATCGTTTTCCACATTTACAATCAGGTTTAACTAGGCGGCCGGCTTTTGTATATGGTCTTGAATTTTGTAGAATACAGTCTCGGTAACTACAATCGGGCATATTACTATTCCCTTTATCGTAATTTTGATCTTCTAAAGTATCTTTTAGGTATTTGTCCAATAATTTATCCTCCTCTTGGTTATTGTCATATAATCTATGAGAATCGTCTTCATTGATAAAGTCCCCTTCGAAATTAGCCTCTTCCGCTCTATGAATTAGATCTTTAGCTTGGAAAGGAGGTCTGATGTATGAGCCGTCGAACCCATAATTTTTAGTACGTAAATCCTCTTGACGCATGGGCGTCATTTTCGGCTTTGCCACGTAATATGGACTTTTCAAGTTATACTTTTTGAAATAATTTTCTTTGTAGGGTGTAATACTTGAGGGTGATAGTGAGGGGAATTCATTCTGACGAATACTCTCATAGTTCGTCTTAGTATTTATTCGGTTCACTGGTCGTACTATGGGTGGTTTCAAAAGTTCGAAGTATTCCCTGCGTTCGTCCAATCTATTTAGTGGTTGAGGTGGAAATTGTAATGGAGTAGTATCTGGTGTAATTTTATTATTATAATTTAGGTTTTTATTGTTATCTTTGCATCTAAATACGGTCGGATCTGCAAAATACGACGCCATGTCTTGTGGAAGTTTGTCAGACAATTCAAATCCTTGGAAGTATGAATTGGAAGTAACCCGGTTACCGAGTGGACAAGGAGTTACCATGTTTGGCAACGTTGGCGGTGGTGCTGTAGCATACACTATTTTGTCTACTGGCGCTATTTTAATAACTCTGTTACGAACTGGTTTCTTAAACTTCTGATTGATGTATATAAAAGCTCTCTCATTCTGGTTGTTCTGTTTCTCTGTAGCATGCTCGTAAAGATCCTTTTCATCGATATCATTCCTACTTTTGGGCAGTACAGCATATTTCAATGGGAACGTAGTAGCATTTGCATCGCCCGGAACGTTGCTTGTTGATTCCGTTGTGGAGTCGTTCCATTTACTTTCAAGCTGTAAAAATAAAATATTACAGTTTAGACAATTGGTGTAATATTCAATTCGTATATTTCAGATTACAAAGATTAATTAGTTGCAGGCATCTAAAAATTTGGAAACAGTGATCAAAACACTAACCAGACATCGAATTTGTTTCGGAGTTTCTTCTCAAAGTTATAATTACGTGTCATGCAAAAAAGTGTTTAGTTCAGCTTTTAAATAAATACTAACAATCATTTTCAAACAGACATAATAACCTAATGTACATCTACTTACAAACAATGAAACCAATTATTTGCGTTAAATAATATTTTACAAAATAACAACGTTCCCGTTTTATTACTCACCTCTGGAAGACTCGAGGGCACAATAAATCCGGAAACAACTCCAATACACAAGGAAACTAAAACAACAAATGCATTTCTCATCTTCTACTCCTGTGATAAAATAGAACTAGGTAAATATAAAAATCTTCACTAAAATTAAATTAACGTTTTTCGTGGCATTAGGATGCGACCGTCCTCGAGTGCCGTAGTTAGACGTCTAGCAGAATGTTGACATGTCAACAAAAAAAACAAATGAATGAAGAATAGAATAGATGCAGTTTTCTAAACAAGTGATTGTTATAATGAAACCATTGCTATTTATCATTGTCTGCCTGCTAACTTTGTTTGTAGTTGATAGTTTTTATAAATTCATTGTCAAGAGTCGTATGATGCATTTCTTCAATGAACTACTGAGCAATGAATAGATGTAACTGTTGTGTATGGCAATAGTCGTGCAAATATAGATTATGAATTTTAGGTATTTGAGTAATTAAGTAGTGATTTTCTGTCTATGAATCGTTTGGAAACCTTGTAAATGTATTTTAGCTAATCGTGAACTCGTGATAGTGAAATTCAATTTGTTGAATCTGTTTACTTGCTAAACTCTTGGAAGTAATATTCAATAATGTGTACACAGTTAATATTCTTTAAAATTTCTTCAGCTTTTAAGAACATAAGCTGGTAGTCTGCAACTACGTAACAAAGCAACAAAGTAACCGCTCGACTTGGGAACTTAACGATCAATTAAAAAACTTCTCTCGATGACAATTATAACAAAATTTATTCAACATTGATACTCATAGCGATCATAGATTACAATATGACTTTCTTAGCTTTTAAGTACAACATTGTGGATGATTTACTCACAAAATAGATTCACTATTCCGTAGTTTAGTTTTGACCGAAAATGGCCACAATTTCGTCAAGGAAGACTTTGACGTCAATGCCATTCTCGTTAAGGGTGGCAACCTCAGCTTGGAAGGTAGGGTTAGCCCAGAGAGCGGAGAAGACAGCATCCCACTGTTCACTCTTCAGGTTGGAGATGGCAGTGCTGAACTCCTCCTCCTCAGCCATCTTCTGTTCGAAAAGAGCTGACAGTTTGTCCTTGGGGAAGGCGTCGATGCAGTCTCTCATGAAGGAGGTGAAGTCACGGCCGCTGGTGGAGTGACGAGCAGACCTTGCCCTTTGTATGCTCTCTGTAAAATAATCAATATTTTAGTTGACATGGTTTTTACTTCAATAAAATTTGTTTCCAATGTACTATTAGATGTTTAATTCTTTCAAACTCACCGATCATTTCGTTGAACAAGTCAATGAAGTAGTGAATGTCAATGTTGTCTTGTTCCAAGAATTCGATCACCTAAAGAAGAGAAAAACAGAAAAATAATATTCATAAGTAACGCAGGTAATTAGTAAAAGCACTTAGAAAATCTAAGATAGGTTGTCGCAGTTGGGATTTATGAAGGTAAATTCTTTGCTAAACTGACACTCGGACAAGCTGTAAAGTAGTCTTATTATTCCTCTAGAATTATTCATAGTGATTTAAAAACTTTAGAACGAATTGTAATAATAATAACACCTAAATTTTAATGTCTTAATTAAAAAAATTTCATAACAAAAATTTCGAAAATACTCACAGCAACAAATTCAGGCAACGATTCCATTTCGTAGACTAAATCCTTGAAGTTGTTGGTCCTCATGTAGTCCAGAGCAGTCCAGAACTCATCGTACTCAAGGTAGTGTTCATTCAGGTGCTCAATCTCATGACCAGCCTCGTCCATGATGATGTCCAAAAAGTCTTCAACATGTTCATGGAACAGCTTCCTGGTTTGAGGAGCTGAGAAGGCGAGGGCCACCAGGGCGAGGACTACTAGAGCTTGCTTCATCATTCTGGTATCGCTTCCTGAATTCTGTGATGCTGATTCAACGGTACCAATGCGTTTTATACTTAGTGATAAGATAAACTTTAGATCTTCAGTGTGTCATGTGAGATAATCTTTATCTCAAGTGTTTTAGATATTCTTTCTGTTTCTATTGTTAATTTTGGTGATGCTTCGTTGTGTTCAGTTCCAGTTTTTGCTATAAAACCACACCTAGGTACATACTATTGCGGGAGGTTTAAAGAAATAACTTATTTTTAAATTGTTCATTACTGCTGTTTAATGTTGCTTAAGTATAATCTTTAGATTTTGAAATTAAATAAAAAAACTCACTGCCTTGTTGGCCGAGTGGTTGCAAGTGCGACCGCCGGGGGTCTCAGGTTCGATTCCCGGGTCGGACAAACTATTACTGGGTTTTAAAAAATTCCCAGTAGTAGCACGGAGCCTGGAATTGTGCCCGGTATATGGCAATAGGCTCACCCTTATTACATGGGACTCAGAACATAAATAGTATAAAAGTAGGTGTTACATTGTACAGTGGCATAATGTGCACCTCTGCCTACCCCTTCGGGGATAAAAGGCGTGATGTTATGTTAACAAACTCATAGTACTAAGTATTTAGAAATGAACTATCATAATAGGTATTAGGTTGCCCGACCAATTCATTGCACAGACGAAATTAAATGAGAGTATTAATTTTTTAGGCATTAATGTCTGAAGCAGACTTAAGACGCTGCACTTTTAAAATTGTTAATTAAACAACTTTGTCATATAACAACTGAAGGAAAGAAGTTCCACAAATAATTTACACATTCTTACTCTTTGATTAATCAAAGTTCTTACTAAGTTGAGGTAGTAAAAAACATTGCGTCATTCATAAAAATAAGAAACCGTTTTTATCAGAACGGTATTGTCACTTATTTTATATGAAACGGTATGATGATTCATTTTCGTTATAAAAAAGTAAACAAAACACCATGTATCATAAAATATATTTATTAAATTTTAATACAATTTGAACTTTCTTTAACAAAAAAACATCAAAATTTTGTCTAGTTCTGTCCAAAAATCGCCAGGAGTTGTTCAAAGAGGACGCTGATTTCGATTCCATTTTCGGAGAGAGCAGCAACTTCAGCTTGGAAGACTTCACTTTCCCATAGTGCTGAGAAGACAGCTGCCCATTCCTCGCTTTCCAGGTTCTGGATGGCAGTCTTGAACTCATCATCTTCAGCCATTTTCTGGTCGAAGAGAGCTGCTAGTTTCTCTTTAGGGAACACAGCGATGCAATCCCTGGTGAATGCTGTGAGATCACGGCCGCTTGCAGATTGACGAGCTAGCGCGTTCCGTTCTACATTTTCTGTAAAAGTATAATATTAAATTTACTTTTATTGTATCCGATCTAGCAGTCATTGGAAGGCCGACTATGAAAATTATTTTATTAGGCAGAATGATTGATTGTGTACCTAGGCATTGTAATTTCACTTATCGCCAGTGTGATTTTCTTAGTCTAATCATTACAATAGTACTGAAAGTTCATCGATAATTGACTGGGTACAATCATAGTAAAATTTCAGTAGTAGCGTTGTGCTCGGTATATGGCAATAGGCTAACCCCCAAATTACATGAGACTCATAAGTCATACCTACATACATAGTGAAAAGTGGGTGTTAAATTGTACAGTAGCATTTAGTGCCATAATGTGCACCTCTGCCTACCCCTTTGGAGATAAAAGGCATGATGTTATGTATATGTATGTGAATATTTAGATTACTTACCAATAATTTCGTTCAGCATGTCAATGAAGTAATGCACATCAATGTTGTCGTTCTCCAAGAAGTCTATCACCTGTTCACAAAGAGGAAAAATATTTCATAAAAGTTTAAATTATACAAATAAGTAAGTAAGAGGCATTTCTTCTATTTATAACTAGAACTGTGTATCTAACGAAAATATGTAAATGATCGGGATGGCAATCAAACTGGACTTATAGAACCATATTTTTTTATTTATTTGATGGGCTGACGTTTGGCCACTATTTGGCCTGGTGAATGATGATGCGGTCTACGATGGAGCACGTCTACTCATAAGCAACCTATTCACTCAGGCCTTGAAGGCATCCAGGTTAAACAAACTGTGGCAAAGATTTCCATTCCTTATTAGTATCCATAAGGAAGCTTGATGCGAAGCGCTTCGTGCATGTGGTTGGGCCACCCACCATGAATCGGGGACGCTTTGCCAATTATGGTGTAGTACGGTGATGGAAAGGACTAGGGGAATCAAGTTGTGCATTTCCCCCGCACACTCACCGAAATGCATCAAATCTTAGTTTAAGTAGGTACTAAAACAATTAACATCGTCATTGAATCTAAAATTACTCATTGTAGTTACTTAGTATAGTTATAGTTATATGTTTGTCTGTAAAGTTTGTATCTATGGGCTACAGGTGCCTGAAAATCAAGTTGACATTAAATTAAATGAAATAAGATTCCCTCTTTTTCGGCAACATCATCAAAAACCAATTCGATTTCTATAAATCACTGATGTTTCACTCCGGTCACTCCATCACGTGATTATTCATTCAACAATATCCATATTTATCTACAGAATCGCACTAACGCACCACTGGTTAACTTAACGCACAAACGAGATAAAGATAAAATGACATGACAAACTATATTTAAAAAAAACGTTTCCCCACATTAGTATTTTCTCCTGTATCGTGGGTGTGTTTACAAACATACAAGTTCACATGCACAATGACATCCAGACCCGAAACAACAATTTGTGGATCACACAAAGTGTTGTTCCGTGCGGGAATCGAACCCGCGACACGTTGCACGGCAGCCGGTTGCCCAGCCACCGCACCAACCGTGCTTTTCACTAATTCAACTCTAATTACTCCAATAAATAAAAAGTTAATACTTACAGCAACAAATTCAGGCAAAGACTCCATTTCGTAAATAATCTCCTTGAAGTTGTTCGTCTTCATGTAGTCGATTGCCTTCCAGAATTCGTCAAATTCGGAGTAAAGTTCCATCAGCTGCGCTATTTCCTCGTTGGACTCCTGCATGATGACGTCCACGAAATCCTCGACATGCTCATGGAACAGCTTCCTTGGCTGAGGAGCTGAAGACACAAGGGCCGCCAGGGCAAAAAGAACTAGTACTTTCTTCATCATTTTCTTCTTGTTCCCAGAAATCTGTGTGCTGCATATTGCTTGTAGCAGAATCTTTTTATACTAAGTGATAAGATAGTAGCCAAGATTTATTTGAAGTTATCAAGTCAGATGATTGACTGAACTGCATTCTTGTTGTTTGTATAGGTAACTATTGTGACCGGTCATACAGTATCTAAAATGCTTGTTGCATTTATAAATGTTCATATATTGCATGGAAAGTACAGGTGCTGGGAGCTGCTTACACAGATTTCGTATTTTACACACGATTTAAAGGTAAGAGTGATCTTTGCATCATCAGCCTATAAGTGGCCACTGCTGACCGAAGCCCTCTTCTTGCACGGAGAATGTGAGCATTAATTATAACGTGTGCTCAATACGGGTTGGCGATTTCAAACTTACAATTAGAAATTATAAGCCAAGATTGCCTCACAATGACTTCCTTCACAATTTGTCAGTGGTGTCTAAATAATCTTAGAATTTTCATAAAACTCGGAAAAAGTCACATTGGTACCTTGTCGTTGGTACGTTTCGAATCCGCACCTTCTGCAAGAAATGCGGGTGTATTAAACCTCCGAGTCACTATGACATTACCTACACACAAAAGAACAAATTTGTATTCTTACAAAAAAATCTATAATATTTATAAACCTTAGAAGATTATGGCTGTCCTAAGAACCTAGAAACATATTAGTAAATTCATATGAATTTTCCATTAATACATTTGATAATATCTATAGAATTGTTAATACACTCCCCCACTGCCTCGCAGAGTGCAGTGACATGAAAACTCCGCGTTCACCTACTTCATTTTTCACATTAATATCTATAATCACAATTTAATTTCAGAGACTTATTTATTCTACAATATTTTACATTCCTGCTCGCATCGGATTACGAGCGAGGCATGAGGATTGAATTTTAACATTAATAAATAATGTGATAATGTATTTATGTGGGTAAATCTCATTTCCTGCACCGCTGACAAGTATTTATTTACCCTCCAATATTCATTATTGTACAATTTACGTCAATTATTGTACCAAATGTTATTCGCAAACTTAGTTCAAGTAGATTAGTCGAAGTTAAAGTGAAAACGAGATTATCAGTAACTAAAATGAGTGCAAAGGAAAACCAAATGCGTCAATCTACGCCAATTCGTTCAAATCGTTCTGACTCAAGCTCATCCGGCTTCATCGACGATTACTCACAACTTCGACTATCGTATTACCAGCACAGAGGTGCTATCTCAGATGTAACTGACATTTCTGGAGAGACATCTGCCGAGGAGACGCACACGTTTGAAACGGTGGAAACAAGCTTGAGTGAAACCTCCGTCACCGTCGACGAGAAAGAAGCCAGACGACAGAAACTACGGGATTATTACATTTCTCAAATCCCGGATCTGCCGCATCCATCATACGTCGTGGCATCCATAATCTCGTCAGCATCACACAAGATGGGATCCATTCACCTCAGATATAATGATAGAATCGAACAAGGCAAAGTTCCTGATTCACGAAATGATTCGAAATTTGATCCTGAACGTAGATCGACGTTGAAACCCAATCAGTTTCCGAAATGAACTGTTTACGTGATATTTTTGGAATGTTTTTGATGTTGATCGTCGAATGTGATCGCGAATTGAACTAAGTGTAAATGCATGTGTTATTTTCATGATTTAATTATAATTATAGTGGACAGTGTATGAAAATCGACAATTATATATAGTTTTGACACACAAATGTGATCTTTATTATTTCCAAAAACATTAATATTAAAGTTTATTTTCAGTCAAAAATATCCTTAAAGTGAAAATAAAAATGTAATACACCGCCACGTCACAAGTTTTGGATCGTTAATGGTAGCTATAAACCTGGGTGAGTACAGATAGTGATGTGCCATCAGATACTGGAGCAAAAAACATAAAAACATATAATTACTGTCTCCTCTGATTTCCCCAGGGATGTCGCGAGCTCAGGCTGCTATAATGGCGTTCCTGCATAACTATTCCTACTTCGATTTTATACGATACCTTGTGTTAGAAAAATACACTGTTTCCTTAGGCTTTCTGATAGATTAGGTAGGTATTTCAATATTGTGAAATGAATACCGAGTATTAATCAATACCAGTCCGGTAGCCTAGTTATTTTTGTTTGCGTATTTTCCTTTTTTTATATTTTAACATCGCTACGTAGTTTGTTTTAGCTGGATATTCAGTATATTTTAATTAACAGCTAATAAGAAGTTTGGAAGTATATTTCACGTGAATAGAGAACTTTATGCTCGTTTTCTAGCGCATTGCATGCAAGAGCAATGAGATTACTTGTAAGGAGTTGTATGGAGGAAGGATGCAAATAGCAAAAATGTACGTGAAATATTGCGCGCGGATCTAAAAATACTGAGAAGCAGACATTAATGTAGTGTAGAAATATTATTTGTTATCTATTTACATAACATCACGCCTTTTCATCCCCAAAGGGGTAGGCAGTGTACAATGTAACACAGCTACTTTTCACTATTTATCTTATGATTCCTATGTAATAGGGGTCACCCCCTATTGTCTTGTACCGATCTATTGTGAGCCTATTGTCATATACCGGGTACAACTCCAAACTCTGTGCTATTACTGAGATTTTTTTTTAAAACCCTGTAATACTTGGTCGACCAGGGAATCCAACCCAAGACTCCTTGCCAGGCAGTCTATTTACATTTACTTTATTTATTTAATTTGGTTTACCTATTTATCAGTTACGTGGAAGATCTAATCTGTAAACAATCTTCCTCCGCCCACAACAATATTACTTATCCTGAGATTAAAATTACCTATTACATCTAATCTAATGACACAAACACAAGCTCATGATTGAAATGAAAATTCAAAAGTCGATAATTTCCTCATGACCAGCGTCTGTGTATTGCTTAAAGTTTAGCATGACTCAAATGCAAACTCCATATTATTATGATTGATATAAATTAAAGAAATCAATGTTGATAGTTTGACTACACGGTTGACGCGGTGACTGGGCTACTGGCCGCCGCGCAACGTGTCGCGGTTTCGATTCCATCACAAAACAACTTTGTGTGATTTACAGATTGTTGATCCGGGTCTGGGTGTCATGTGTATATGAAACTGTATGTTTGTCAACGCACCCACGATACAGGAGAAAATCCTAGTGTGTGTGTACCTATTTTAAAAAAATAAAAGAAAGAAAGAAGGTAATCTTCACGACTTCGCTGTTTATTTTTTTTTTTTTGTGTGTTGTTGTACTTTGTGACGGTGTGCACTTTTTTTTAAATCGTTTCGATGTTACTCAACGCCACAATCTAGGTAAAGTAATAACCAAGTTTTCCACCTAAACAACAAACACTTAGGTATTGAAGATTTTCCAGTTTATTCCAACCTGGGCAGCATTACCCCACGGAGACCGCTTACGATCATGAAAAAGTCTACAAAAATAATGGAATCCTAAAATTCCCTCCACTGGGGGACACTATTTATAAGGTTTTAAGTTAAAACAAACTGTCAAACAAGTAACCCGGGGGAGACCAAAGTTTCGAATGGTGTTAAACTTTGCGAATGTTGTCTTTATTCCGTATTTTTATCTACTACGGAACCAGGATCTTTTATTTTTAGGTAGCTACTCGTGTTCGCCTGTTGTTTTGCTAAAGTCAAAGATTTTGAGGACGATAGTATTATGATAACTACTTTTTATCCCACCCCATCCTATGGAGGAAGATGCTGATGTCGATTTGAATTCGAAGTGAGAGGTCACATTTTTCTTATTACCTAAGTGTTATAAATGTACCTAAGTACCTATTGGCATAACTTATTAATACTACTTCGTAAATTATTATCATCTTAGTAGTAGATCATAATAAGTAATAGTAGCTTAGTAGCTACGACTCCTGCCTTCGTGAAATTTTTAAAAATATCAAAATTTAAAAAAAGTTTGTCCAACCTGAAAATAAGATGTTATGATTTTTTCCACATTTGCATTCGACTATTTCAATTAGTCATGGTTTTTTTTATTGTTTCCACACACAGGTAGGCTTATTATATAACTGTTTATTATCAATATATGTACACTAACATCTGCCCGCGACTTCGTACGTGCAATCCCATTTTCTCCCGTTTCTGTAAGATTTTCAGGACATTTTCTGTCTTAAACTGTTAACAAGCGGTCACCGGTGACCGCAACCTATTGTTCTTTAATTGTGTCTATAAATACTCTCTCTGAACCTTCTCCTAATACCTAATAACAAATACAACAAAAAAAGAATTAGTGAAATCGGTCCAGCCATTCACGCGTGATGCCATGACCAACAGAAAAAGGGATTCAGTTTTATATAGATGTATAGATAGATAAGAGTGGCGCTTACGATAAAATGCACCTCTAAAACGCAGTCACTCAAGAAAAATCAATCACAATGCTACAACATTAAGTCGCGTAGTGCAACATTCTGTATCAGATGAATTGATAATAACATGTTATTGTGCATCGTTTATCGAGTCATATATAAATATAATTGTGTATACCTTGCGTTAACTAAAACAGACTAGATTTTCTAACTAATGAAATTCAATAGATTACAATAGGTATAGGTATCGAAACATGTATACAAAATGTATTGAAACAATAATAATTTTCAGTGATTATTTTACTAGATTGTGAGTTATGAATGGTTTTATTGAAATAGGTACCTACTAGCTGTTGCACGCGACTTCATCCGAGTAGTTTATGAATTTTTGAAAATAACGTTTTCTTGCTAGAACTTTCCAAAATAAAATCAGCCTATGTTACTCCTTGTAGATCAGCTACCTGCCAATAAAAGTCTTGCAGAATCGATCCAACCATTCCAGAGATCAGCCAGTATAAACAGACACACAGACAGACAAACATTTAAAAAATACTATTTTGATATATGAATCGTATGCATATTCATATGCATGTAGTAAAAAGCGGTTATTTTAATATTACAAACAGACACCAATTTTATTT